TAGTCGTGTTATGCAGCAACTTGTAGCAGTATTTAAAGAATATTTTACATATTCTGTATTGTTTTAGATTTTACAATTTTATGAGAATTAATTTTTGTTTTAACTCGACCATCGAGATGCATTATCAAAAGAGTTTCGGAAGAATTATATTTAATAATAAATATTAATATTAGGAATATTTTAATATTATATGAGAGAGAGAGAAACACGGAATGTTTTTATATGAGTCGATTTTTATATATACGTGTACAACGTAAAATATACATTATAAAAACGAAACTGCAAATACATCAGAAGTCGAGAGGAAATATGCGCTGTATTTGCGCGATGACATAAGAACTATTATAATTGCGATGCGAGAGTCTGACGAGTTGCGCCGACCTTTACTCTATGGCATATATTTACTTTACATCAGAAGATAAAAATATACTAGAATAATAAGCAAATAGAAAAAGAGATATTATTTCTTAAATGATCTTTTTTCAACTGATGATTCTTTAGTATTATTATAATTACTGTGCGACGTCATAATATCCTCTATAACATTATATCATCGATATAGCTGTCATATTGAGTTGCGTAACTGAGCGCGAGTTATAGAATATAAAAGATTCTTATCTCTTATTGATGACACTAAAAGATTATATATTGTGTTAAATATTATCGATTACATTTGTTATATTATTTTTACGTATTATCATTGAGGCATTACAACACGCCGACAAACCGGGATTTTGAAAGGAAAAGGAAATTCTCCATTTTACCGTGACGAAGAGACGAAGGAATTATTACTGCTGTGTTATGAGGGGACGTTCGTTTGTCTCACTTCTCTCCGCGCGGTATTGCCAATCTCGCTATTGAGTATAGAGAGAAGAAATCGAGTTTAGTATGATAGATTGGGCGGGTTGACAGCATCACACGACGGTCCTTCCGTCGTGATGCTGTCTCACTCCAATCTTGACTAAGGGTGGTCCACACCGGGCGCGTCCCCATAGAGACCCTCTATGTTGGACCCCCGAAACATGTTACGGAGGGAAGACGGAACGCTATTGTAAGTCCTTGGCCAACCAAAAAAGTTAACCAACCAAAATCTACTGAAATCGCCCCACTACTCTGCTCCGCCCATTTCGTTATTTCTCTCTAATTTTTTGCATTCTATACATATTTGCGTTGCGTGCTTTTTTCAACCAGCTGTGAAATGTAATTGTGTTCAATTACTTACATCACATTTCGTTAAAATTAATTTTGCTCTTGTTTATTGACTTTGCATCTATAATGATACGTGATTGAATATATAATTTTATATATTATTCGAATTATTATTTTATCATTTGTTTAATTATCAGTTTTATATTATTCGATATGTTTTAAATTTGATATGTATCTCATATTATTTTAGGAGATATCTCTCTCTCCTGCTCCTTCTCTAATAAAGTTATGTATATTTGGTATATTAATTATTATCTTGATAAGTATATAAAATTGATTATATGTATAATTACATTTATTATATATTTTTTTTTTTTTTAATGACAATACATAGAAATATTTAATTAAAAAATATTCTTCAATTTTTCCTATATAATATTACGGCCAATTATATTTCGAGGTATTCAAAATTGTGATAGACATGTTAAAGAAAATTGAATCGTATTAAAAACATCGGGACGTAATAGCAGGAGTAAAAACGAGAGGGGTTAAACGAGGGTGACAAAGTTTCATTTCGGTTTGCATGCTTTGCTGCAATAAACGTCAGTCCCTCTAACGCCTACGATGGCGTTATTAATTCGATTATAATGAGCTATTAAGTGAAACGCTGGTAATCCCGACAAGCTCCATCCAAACGACTAAGCTCACACTCATTCTCCGAGTTAGGAGATTGCGGGGAGCACCATGGCCGTTAAGCAAATTAGTGTGTAGTTAGGGGAACTGTTCCGGCCTTTTTAGGCATTATTTTCATTGAGCCACGCTACGTCACTTTTTCATAGTCATCAACTCGACATTATAACAGTACGTAGACATTTTTGCGGACCATGTCTCTGATTTCTCTTTTGCAAAAATATATTAATTATAAGAATTATAATATACACACACCACATATTATATATTATTATTTTTGAATCATGAAATGTCAAACTTTGTAGTCATTTGTTTTGTTTACGAATTTTGAATCAGTTTGTCTTTAACGAGATTGTTCATATATCAACTATTTTTCAATTATAACTATGCAATTAAAACCGTTTAGATAATTCTCTTTCCGCGAATTAAAATTTAATTAATTTGTCACAAATAAAATACGATAATTCTTTTATTGGAAAAAAAAGAAATTTACGTATATATCGTAATAAATACATGCAAGAAAAAAATTGACAAATATACAGGATATCCGTAAAAAAAAGGTTCAAATTTATAAAATATAAACTTATGTCCGAAAATGCTTTATTAAAAAATTATAAACATTTAAAGAGATAGGTGAGCAAAAGTGTTCTTATAACTTGTTAGATGGAATGACATATGCTGACATATGCTTATCGTATAATTCAAAAAAGCATTCATTGTAATCGTAAAAATGAACTCACAACGACTCAAACATCAAAATTATATTATTAAACAAATGAAAGTTTAACAGAATTAATATGTGATAGAATTCTAGAGACCGCATAAGTCAAGACCTGTACTTAAATAATAATTGAGAGTTATCTGTTTCCTATAATTAGCGATTTTGTCTAATAAATTATAAGATCAATTTTGCTCGCGAATTTTTGAATGCTTATAATTTTATAATAAAATATTTTTGGGCATAGATTTATATGAACTTACTCGACCTACCCCATTAACGCATTATATAAATTTGATCCCGACCTTTACGGACACTCTGTATAATGCCTTCCTCGTAATCAATATATTGAAGATTTATTCGCGTATATTTGTTTGATAAACGAATTATCTTATCAATGTCAGGAATTAATCTGATAAATTCGAGTGTAAGACGGTTTTACTTAAACGCTAGTCTTATCGTAATCTGTTAATGTTTCCGCTACTATTGTACAATCTAAATCCAATACGTCACGTTTAAACACGTAAAGATTGTCGTCGAGATTGCACATTCCTGGTATTTATAAACACGTCTGTAAATAATTCGCTTATCATATGTGAGAAACATTTTTCATTAATCTTGTGCGATTTATATCTTTGGATTTGCAATGAATAATATCTGAATTTTCTTTCTCGATATAAATTTATGTCCGAATTTTCAAACATAATCAAATAAAAATTTTGTTCATTGTTAAAGAAATAAATATGTCCAATTAAATAAGCAAAAGTATCTTTAAAATTGTTTATTACAGAATATACAATTTCATGTATAATGATACACATTTCGATATCACCAATAACCAATAACTCAAGCAGTACATAAAGGCCAAAAGATATTCTAAAGACATCTAAAGAATGATAAGACGTTTTTAAGTCGTTTTTAGTCGTCTTTTAAAGATATGTATTGCCTAGGAAGTTTCTTTTATCTCTTTGATTTATAATAGTAATAAAAAATATTTTCATAGCATTGAATATTTTTTATTACTCGTTTTATATGCACAATTTTATCTATTGAGTTCATAACACATAAATATAAACAAAAGTCAAATTGTAGGGTAAAATAACACGTAACACGTACACTGATAAGTTTTTGTCACAAATATCTTGGAGAATATCGTTTATCCCGCAAAATCCATATGTATAGTTACCTTCATAAATGATAATACAAGTCTGTTATTATGAATCCATTTACTACCCATTTATTATGATTGCATTTACGATAAAAATGCAATTATGATAAAAATGTAATTTGTTAATAATAAGGGCAGGTTTTAAGAATAGCTGAAAGAATATTATTTGATAAATTTAGTCATTGAATTGAACAAATTTTTTGTTAAACTTTTTAAAATTAATAAATTAAAATCTATATTTATGATATAAATCTTATCTCTCTCTGTTTAAAACTCCTGATAAGATAAAAGAAAATCAATAAGAAATACGGTAGCAAATTGCAGACTAATGATATTAAGGTCGTACGTACAAGGCTGGTATTATTGGGCAGTGCGCGCATGATTAATGATTATGGCAAACCGGGATTACGTCGCACTTTATTAATTCTCATACATATATACAGATCGTTTGAAAGCCACTGACTTGACGATTACCGAGCAGCATGTTACATTTTGTCTCTGACAAACTGTCCGCCTTGTTTGTCAATCTTAATTGAGGACTATCTTCGTAAAAATTGTTGATCTTCGATTAAGTGTTTTTTAAAGCACTTTGATGTACTGAATTTATGTAAAGTATCCTCAACAAGACGTGATTGAATTATATTGTACTTCTAAGATTTAAGATTGTTTTATTAGTGATCCGCGGATCTTACGAGCTTTAAACGTTCTTTAATTATTAAAAAATTAATAATACAATTATGAAAGATAAAAATACTATTTAATTTCAAATACACACGCATACTTTACATAAAATATAATAATTATTTAAAATAAATGTAAATATAAAATGTAAAGATTATTTAAATAAATGATAAGTTATAATTATATCTTTCATAAGCTGGTCAAACAGAAAGTATTTTACGAACAAAAGTTTTCTTTTAAAGAAAAATTTTGGCAATATATCAATTAAAACGTATAGCACATATAATAATTTTTGATCTGATTTGTGAGATATTTGTGCTGTGTATTGTGTACATCTGATTGTGAGTTTAATTGAATTCCACGCGATATAATTTTCAAACTGAGGACACGCTATTTGACAATGATAGCTTTTAAAATAACGGGGCTACGGTTAGATAGACAGCCGTGATTCTACATCTTCGTACTTGAAGCTAATCAAGCGATGAACGCGGTTTAACGAGTGGCTACCGGATCGCGCCCACAGAATACCTAATTTCACGCTACTTTGCCCGCCACACATAGGCGTCGACTCGACTGAAAAAATCATGCACTTACCAACTGGTTTAGGTACATTTCTCTTGACTTGCATCCATTTGTAGGTTGGTACCTGCGCTTGTTGTTGTTGTTGTTGTTGCGGATGATGCGAATGCTGCTGCTGATGATGATGGTGCCCGTGCTGATGAGGATGCTGGAGGTGACCGGACTGTTGTAAGACGTGATAGGATGTCGCATCCGAATTCTCTTCCTTATAGTGTCCCGGCGGATGCGTGGAGAACTCGCTCTGCTGAATCTGCGTCTGGTAGTGCAAGGATTCGTCCGAGGACGGCAGTTGATGTAGGTAGTTCGAGGTGCCGCCGACCGCTATTTGGTATTCAGGCTCGTGGTGGTGGTGGTGATGGTGATGATGACTAGAGGACTGATGATGAATTTGCTGATCGTGTTCCGTTCTTGGATGACTAGCTTGAAGTACTGTGGTTTGATGTAGGCTGCCGCCAGCGGGCGGATGGTGGTGATGATGATGGTGATGATCGTCCCGGTAAGCAGTTTGCTGAACATGGTAACTTTGATGTGGATCCACCGATGTTACTGTGTGCTGCTGTTGATTCGGATACGAGGATGACGCGTAATCCAGGTTAGTATAACTCAGACCGTTCTCCGAAGAGATTATTGCTGTGGTGGAACCATTCTCGTGGAGAACGGCACCCGTCGGAGAGTAAAAACCTTGAGGCGGCGTACTGGACGACGCGCCCGAATCGGCGGTTAGGAAACTCTCGGAGGATGATGAAGAATATGGCGCCACTGCAGTCTGGGGATAGTAATGAGTTGGAGCTATCTCCGGAGAAGGAGGCACCGACACGTGACTGCCGACGGATGACGACTGATGATGGTGATGATGGTGATGATGATGGTTTCCTTGACCCGAGAATACGTAGTTGGGATATGAGTCAGACTTGCCGTAGTTCCCGTACATGCCCATGTCCATCATCATCATCCTCGTAACGGAGAGACAAATCAATTGACCACCCACTTTTTTGGTAATTGTTATGCGTACTGCCCAAGAAGAAAAAGAAACGAAGAAGATGTGTTACTTATGACAAGAGTCGTACATTATTATCCTAATTGATTATTTCAACATTGTATATATGTATATTTTGTACAATCCTCTTGTACAAATACTACAAAACAGTAAAATTTACATTTGTTCGGTTAAACCAATTCACAAGGTAAGCACAAAATTAGTCTATACACAAAAACAGTTGTCACTGTGCACTAAAACGATGCAGAATGTGCGCGTATCGGCTTTATAAATTTGTAAAATTTTGTGACAGGTATTTGGTATTCAAGTTTTAAAAATTCGTATTTACTGTACTCCTACGATAATTTTCAGCGAGCACTTAAAAGTGTCAATCCGTAGGCACTGTGAAACGTTAACCGTCGCCCGCAAAAACAATCCATGCGGTCATTCATGCAGTCGATCCGTCCGACATGGGTCGTTGAAGTGGACTGGTTAGGTAGACTAGCGTAGCGGAAAGCTGCACACAGGTGAGACTGACCCGCAGTGGTCTGGCGTGTTCAAGTTTTCTCTCTCTCTCTCTCTCTCTCTCTCTCACTCTTTCTCTCTCTCTCTCCGTTTCTCGGACGTACCACCCAGATGTAGAGTGGTGGCATTGGGCTGCGTGAGGTTAGTTTCTGGGGGAGTCTCCATTATCGGTGGGCGGCACATAGAGGTGATCACGTGATGACGATTGGGCGGCTCCAACCAATCCTGGGCGAGTCTGCGCGCCCCGAGTCCACTACCTCATGATGGATCACCAGTGTGAATTTTATTTTTCGTTCCTTCTTTTTATCTGGCACGCTGCAGTTGACACTTATCGTCGGGGGGTAGGAGCTGGGGTATTATATCTCGGTACCCACCTTCTATGCTATCCGGAGGCAGGCAACCTCCGCCCTTCTATCCTAGGTTGTTTTGTGCCTTCTGCCTTTTTTTCCTTCCACGCTCTTGACGGGTCCTTCTATGTACTTGCGTGTCTCGAGGTACCAAGATACGACAACATCCTGCGTTTTTATTATAACTTGACAGTTGATGGTTTAATTGTAGTTGTTCTACTATCTACATGACCGACGATTTTATCAATAAATGTTGATAAACGGGTTAATGATTAAATTTTATTAATTGTTTTTCAGCATTATGCTTTTTTAGATAAGCAAGCAGATATGTTTCTCTATTATGTACGCGAAGAAGATGAAGTACATCTTCTCTTGCAGATAGCTTCCGTGCAACGCTTTGCGTTGTCCAGGGAAAAAGTGGAGATAGATAATTTAATTTGGTAGCTGTGTCACGCTAATAAATAAGAAAGATATTTCGGTCACACAGACGTGCGACGCACGAAACAATTTGTGACTCTTCAGACTGCTAGGATATTCATCATCTTCACGTCGTCGAGACCCTGACATGACAATACACTACTTCTAAAGGTATAACGAAGGACTAGGTCACATTCGACGCCAGGTCTCTGAAAAAAATGTTAAAAGACCCTTGAAATTCATTAGAAGTTTTATCTGCTTAAAATATTTTTTATTTATGTGTATTAATATGTTATTTTTATTGAATATAAAGATTACGTATCAGATTATATTAAATTGTTTATTAAATAAAGATTCAAAAACTCTTCGAAACATTAAGTAAAATATAAGAAAGAATATAATGTATAATCAGCCTCTCATATATGTGCTTCTCATTGTCAGTAGCTAAACTAATGAACTCCGCTTTTTTCTAATCTTTAATTTTAATATATCAAGCACATGAGTATTCTAGTACTAAAATTAAGAAATTTATCAAAAGTTTAATTGATTAGTTTTACTTCTGAAAGACTCGTATATGAGACGTTGATTATGTATTATATTCTTTCGTTTTTTGACTACTATTTTAAAGATTTTTTACTTCTCTATTAACAACTTGATGTAGTCTGATATAAATACATAATTAATTTTTTTTTCAATATTTTGTCTGTGAAAACGGAATAGACTTTAAATAAGCCGCATAGAATCTGTCATTAATACATAACGCGATACACAATGCAGTTGAATAGTATGATAAAATTTAAATATTAGAAGAGTATGTAAATGTGATGATTATATTGATGGTTGGAGCAGTAGCTTTCCCCAATTATTGTTTAATGGACGGGTTGTGAACATTTTTTGGCAATAAGAAGATCTGAAAAAGTGACAAGAACTCGCTCGTCCGCAGGACGCGTGACGGCCCATGGGATATCTCCTACCCCATGCGAGAGCACAGTGACAGGATGACACATTCCACCGTGAGAGTTTTAGAAGCATGGTCCCGTATCAGCAGTTCAGTCAGAAGAGCTTATATCGAGGGCGCCACCTGCGGCCACCCGCGACATCCGTCCTGTTTCGTACATCAGCCCGGGGAATCTTCATCTTGATCGAGCCGCAGTGACGTTTGATAGTTCTGATTCCCGCTGTCGACTAATCTTTTTCACCCGAACGCGCAGTTACATATCTTATCTTTATCGGAATGTAATTCGGAGTCTTTTCATACTCGTGCGAATGTTGGCAATGTACCATCATACTCTTTACAATCGAGATTACATCGATATAAATAAACATGGGATATATTTCGGAGTCGTTAACTTAATTTTAATGCCGTCTTATGCTTGGAACAAAATTCGGGAGAATACATCGTATGCAATTTTTCAATATTTAGTATATCATTGATTAATAATTGAACATCAAATAAAAACTTTGAGAAGCAAAAACGCACTTGAATTTAGAAGAACAACAAGCTTTCCTTTAATATTTTCTTTTCTTAATTATACAATCTTGCCACGATTGATTGTAAAAAATAATGACTCTTTATATTTACCAGAAAATTTAATTTGCGCAACATAATTCAGCATAAAATTGGTTCTTCTTCTATCGTGAATCTTTATTATTAGGGAGATAACGATAGAACCGAGATATCGAGATAGAAAGCCGATCATTACGCAACTTTTCGTCGATGAAGCGTATGATTTGCTGGGTAAACTTGGAGGACGCGTTTAAATAGAATTTGCAGGGATTAAGTGGGTAAATTTGAGTTTAACCTGGTCTAATGCTGGATAAATATCGTCGCCTTTTTTCCGGATCGACACGTAAACTTTGTTTGCGGCTAATCCCGCTAAACAATTATGGTCCACTCTTGTCAATCGGTCCAGTACCCATCTTTCCGTGCGGCGTCACGCTGAGATTTGACGTAGGATGAGGCACCTGCATTGTCATGCTGAGCTCCAGTCGTTCTGTTACAGTGCTAGCTTTTATCTGCACAAGCTACAATAATCCATCGCCTTCCAAAGCGTCGTTTCTTTTATTGTGTGTATTAAAACTCCTCTACTCTCTTGTTGTTTATTTGTGATTAATTCTTACATTTTAGCAATTGATACAGTTATTGTTAGATATTAATATGCATTATTCAAGTTTGTCAAGCAGCGATCAAACAATCAAAATGATGAAATAACATTACATCATAGAAACACTGTGTATCATACCGGATAATGCGTCATCGACAATAAAGTGTGAAAGAGATTAAAAGAGATTAAGAAGCTAATTTAGAAACAATGGTGTTTAACGAAAGGAAAGAGAACTTAAAGAAGTCTCAATTTGTGTCAACTCATTGAGAAATATTTATTTTTTTTAGAAACGCATATAAACTTGACTTCTGTCAACTGCTTAAAAGATTATGTTTGAGGAGTGTTTTCAACAGTAGTCCAGCTTACCTAGGTCGTCTCGTCTTAAACAGCATTTCCGGATATTGGCCGTCCTGTCCATCAAAGAACGAGTCACAACAATCCAGCGGGAGTCTACCGACGAACAGACAGCTGTCTATTGAGAGAATCGCGTGGGATTTCCAGAAGGATTCCGTCTTTATAAATGATGCCGTACTCTATTGAAACAGTGTCAGTTTCTGCGAGAGAAACGTGAATTTTGAAACCGCGTAAAATAAAAAAAGGAAGGGGACAAGAGCCGGGATCAAAATTTTCGATACTTTCTTCGAAGGAAAGGAATATTTTACGTATCTCTTCTTTTATTAAAATTATTCCATTTAATATTGACTCATATTTCCGAATAGATCGCTTTTTCAATGTAAAGCTTAAGAACAGAATTGTGATTTTATAAACAAATCATATTTAACTTGGATAAAACTCTTAATTGTATATTGACTAACAAGTGAAAATATCGCAAGAAATTGTCTTTTTTTAAATATGTAGAATATCTGTGATTTAGTCAATGTATTGTTAGAGTAAATGTCAATATGCATCAATATACGAGATTCAAGAATGTTTTAATGTAACGATCCAGTTCTGCAATATCGAATTATATCGACCATGGTATGTGCACAACTTTCCTCCGGAATCTGCTATCCAATCGATCTTCCGGCCAGAATTTTCCATAATTCTGCTCATTTTCGAAATGGCGCCTGGCTTTTTGTATGCCGCTCGCACGAAATCGTACCAGGGACATGGGAAACTCTGCACAATAGAGTCATCAATCATTCCGTATGAGAGTTACTCGATTGCTACTCTAACTGTGCGCAGTCTTGCCGAGTCGAGCATGAATGTGAACGTAATCGAATACATTTACAAATAATATTAAATATATACATATATACATTTACAAATAATATTAAAAGTATCATATACTATTGATAAAAAAAAATAGCATGATAGAAAAATATAATAAATAAAAAAGTTTAATTATCGCAGTAATTAACAATAATCTGAATATCAAGTCCTGGAAACTATTGTAGAGAGAACTAAATAAAAATAATAATTGTAAAAATTTAACGTTTATATGATACTTTTGATTAGAGTGTTTTAATATGAATCATTATTTGTATATAGTTGAAGAAGAGATAATATTTTATGTGTAGCTTATTTAATATATCTAACTTATATTTTAATTTTTAGAACTACATATGAATACGGAAAACTTTAAGACAAAGCAGCTCTGTCGGGAAAATATTTAGCGGGCGTAGAATGACTCTGCAATACTCGATATGCCATTTCATTCAACCTGACTCACAGTTAGTCTCTATTCTACGTGTTGATCGTATCGTAGTAAATATTGAATAAATGTAATTAGGCGCTGGTGTTAGAAGGGCGCGTGCACGCGGTAGCATTATTCACTCGAGTGATCCTGATGAGTATGTAACTTCTGCGTCTAATACACGAGCAAGCACTGAATTAAGCTTATTATCAAAGCTGATAAGCTTCTTTTAGATCTTGTTTAACGAAATATTAGCACAGAATTAAATAAGTAAAATTATAATATATCAATAATAACAATGACATATAATGTAATTTATTATCACTTTATTATTTTTTAATTACAAATATTTGTAGCTTGTGTAAGTTAGCGCTAGTGAATTAATAAATTTATTAATATTATCGTATCAGTTATGTTTAAGGTTTAAAATATTTATAAGACGTTATCGAGATTG